TACCTCAGGTTGTTGGAAGTCAGGTGGTGAAGGCAAGACTCAATTTTGGATCACCCACCCATGGACTGCCCCTTCACTGGGGCCTGGGGCCAAGAGTGTCTGAGGCAATTTCCCACATCTTTGCAGATGCTTGTATAGGGGCCCAGAGATAGCAAGGGACATAAGCTGTGTTCTTCTGGGTGCTGTGGCAGTAATTTCAGGCAAGTGGGTGGGTGCCTCAGGGCGGCCATTCCCCTTTGAGGAGGCAGGTAGGTCAGTCTCAGCCTCCGTGGCTCATTTCACAGGTGCATGTGGAGAGGGATCACTCTCCATCTTGGATGAACTCAGAATCAGAATGGTTTCTTCCCCTGGGAGTCCTTTACACTGCTCTTTCCTTCCCCTAGAAAGCCTCCTTTATCTACGAAGTTTAACTCCCCTTCAAGAAAAGTGAAAGTGGGCCTCCCTGGTGGCGCAGCAGTTGAGCGCTGGGTTGTGAAGCTGCCTGCAGCCTCTGCGGCGCCGGTTCGATCCCCAGCTGCTCCCCGGCCACCGGAGGAGGGTCCCGCATGGCGCGCAGACCTCTCCTGCCGCCCGCTGCTCCCCTCAGCAGTGTACTTCAGTCCCTCTGCCTGCTCTGCTCCCCGCTCTGGCTCTGGTGAATTCTCTCACCGTCCCGCGCTTCTGACTGTACCCAGTGCATGTATAAACAAACAAACAAACAAATAAATAAATAAAACATGCCTCTATAAAAAATAAATAAAAATAAATTTAAAAAAAAAAAAAAAAGAAAAGTGAAAGAAAAAAGACTTGTCCTTGACCCATACACCCGCTTAGTAGTAACAGAAAGTAATTTCTTTGTGCTCTAAAGGGTTCCATGTTCAACTAATGGGGTCACATTTGTGAAAAACATTTTGCAAGCTGCGAAAGACAATATGCAAATTAATAATTATTGGTAGCAATACTTTATTTTCTCCCCATTTAAAAGCTGAATTCTATATCTCCCTGATCTCTTCCAGAGTCAATATGGCCTGGTGCCCCCTGGGGATGCCTGAAGAATCCCGGGAAATCCTCTCAGCATTTCTTTGCCCCACTCACCCGCCCCAAAAGCACAGCTCTGGGTTGCCCCACAGCCAGCAGGGTAGGCGGGACAGGAAGCCCCTCTGCCTTGTAAACACCATGTTGCAAGCAGACACTTCCCCAGGCTCTGTTAATGCAGCTCTGAGGGTGGCTCTGGGGGTGGTTCCCCAGGGCTTCCCCTGCTCTCAGACTTCACCAACTTCTTGTCTTAAATAGGACTAACCTGGAGGATAGGAACATAATTCCCAAGGGGTGGGTCTCAGCAGAAGCAGTTTCTCAGGGGTTCTTGGGGCCTGAAGAAACCCAGAGGAGACCTCCTTACTAGAGGCCAAAGACAGATATTCACAGGCCAGTGAGATGCACCCCACCCTGCCAGGATGCAGTTCCTGGGGAACTAACCTCACAAAGATCTCAGATAGAGGTAGCCCCATCTATCAGTTTGTCAGTCATAGAAGTGTGAGGCCCAGGCCTCCACTATGTTGGCCACTCAACCAGGTAAACACTAACCAACACCACCAAACGCTGTGCCTGTGAGGTGCTGGTGAGTCAGAAAGGCAGGGGGGTTTCCCCATCAGGAGGGGAATGAAAGAGACAAGAACATGGTTACGTTTTGGGGGAACTGAGGCAGTCTCGCTGGAGGAGAGGGTGAGGATTCATGGAGAAGACCAAGGACTATGGACTTTCCCTCTGCTAGAGCAACAGCAGAGTCTTCAGAACATGGTGACAAAGAAGTCTCCATAAGAAGAATCTCCTCATGAAGCAAGGAACAGTCTGTAGCCTGGAAGGCGCATGAGCAGGCATACGGTCACAAAAGCTGAATTGGGAGGAGAGAGAATGATGAGGAAGTGAAAGAAGCAAGAACCTGGTGGAAAGGAAGCAGTGGAGAACAGGAAGATGGAGTGAGCTTTCAGCAATGACTCCAATGTTTCAAGACCAGGAGTTTATTTTCACCAGAGACAAAAAATGCGGAAGTCCACAGAGGAAGCCTATTTGGTGGATTAAGAGTTGGGCCCTAAACATGTGCTGAAGTTGAAAATAACCATGGAAGACTAGGAATCGAGAGTTTGCGTGAGAGAGACAAGCCTATGGCCCGCACAGGAATGCAGGGAGGTACGTGTAATAAGAGGAAACAGGTGAGCGTGTTGGCATCAAAGGCCATAGAATGTTCCAAGAGAGATGCAGATTGGAAAGAAGCTGTTGGAATTTGCCAGTATGAAGCAACCAAGGACCTCAGAGGAAGCCGTCTGGTAGAGGAGCCTGGGTAGAGGGGGGCAAGGTGCCACTGAGGAATGGAGAATCTGTTGTCCCTGGAGTCCTGCAGAGTTGGGTGCCATGAGGGTAGGGGCAGGTCCCGCCTCTGCTCAGCTCCTCAGAGCAGCTCCTATACTTCGACTCTTGGAGAGCTGACTTTGAAAATTCATAGGATGTCAGAATAATGGAGTCTGTTTAATCCAGGAAGGAAAGGCTCTGAGAGGTGAGCCAAAGAGCAGGGGATAGTTAGGGTTAGCAACCACGTCTCCTATTCCCATCCAATAGTCTAAACACCACACCGCCGCCCCTCTGTTCTCTAAAGGAAGCCAAAGAAAGCTCTGAGCTTTTAGTTTTCTCAGAATGAAACTCTCAAGATGTCAGTACAAAAGTGAATGTAAAGTACAAAGGCCTATGACACATTGACTTAAAAACCCCAATAACAAAAGGCCATTGATTCCCAGATCAACCTGGAGGTGGGATAAGTTGGCCCTGAGAGTTTACCTGGAATTGCCACTCAGGAAATTAATTCTGAAGTGGGTCTCAATTTATTTATTTCAGCAGGAGCCAAGAATAAGGGCACTGCCCACCATCACCCCAAGCCCATGGGCTCCAGCACAGAATGTGGGTGAGGCTCCAGGGTCTCTCACCATGGATGGCTGAGGTTTTTTAATCACCAAGTGCCCTTGCTCTGCAGGAACAGACTGTGAAGCAGGACTGTGGGATTTGTGAGGGAACTGGCCAGCTTTGGGATCTGTTTATTCAAGACCACTGAAATTCTTAAATTCACATTATGTTCACAGAACAACCAATTTTCATACAACCAGTCAGACATGACCACTTAGCAGAGAGACTTACAAATGGAGCCATATGAGCCTCCATTCTCATGACTACATTTCTACATCTGACATGTTTTTTCCTTGAATACTTCCTCTGACGGGGAACTCACTACCACAATTCCATTGTTGATCAGCTCTGAATTTCTCCAAGATCGTCCCTGTAGCAGACTGAAGTTTACTTCCTTACAGTGTCCTTCATTGGCCCCTTTTCCCTTCTGGAGGATGTGCCCCATCCTGGAGGTGCAAGCCTTCATCTCTTCCAAAGGTGGCTACCTGTCAAACATCTAAAGATAGCTATTACTTCTTCTTTGTGTTTTCTTCTCAGAGGAAAATATCACCACTTCTTTACAAATGCTCAGACCTCAAACTCAGTGACATGTTTGCAGAGACCTCCTGGTTCTAGGAAGACAACTTGGGATAGGAAAGAATGATGTGGGGGGCTGAAAGGTGACTTCCTAGAGGATACAGAAAAATCAGGGTTTCTTAACCCTGCAAGGCGTCATCACCAGCTTGGTTAGCTCTCTGGATATAAAGTGGTTTATCAACTGCCCTACTAAATGTAGCACCTGTAGTGGAACTGCACTCCGAAGGGATCTAACCACCTCAATGTAGAAATGGGCCTGCCTGGTAGCTTATGGGCACATAAAGTAAGGACTTAGGGGAACTGGAGGCTGACAATTGGATGCTAAGGGCCTCCCCTGGTGGCGCAGCGGTTGAGCCCTGGGTTGCGAGGCTGCCTGCAGCCTCTGCAGCGCCAATTCGATCCCAGGCCACCAGCGAGGGTCCCACCAAAACAAAAAAAAAGTAAAAACAAAAAAGTTCTGTAAATAGTTCTGATAGTTATCAAAACAATCATATGTGGTTCCAGGAATCAAAAATAAAAACCTAAAATTTAGTTGCTAATCATCTATTCAGACTACTCACAATTGGATGCTAAGAACCAAAGATGGCTCAGGTGTTTGCCAGCTTGGGAGCTCTAAGGTGATAGGAGTGTGAATGTGAGGATGAGGAAGAGAGAAGAGGTGAAGAAGTCTTGGGAAGAACCCCCACCCCCCACCCCTGGCAGCAGAAGATCTAAAGACCAGAGCCATTCTCTCAACTTTCCAGGAACAGATCATCCCCCTGGTCCATGCCTTGTCCCAGGATGCCAGAGAAGATGAGATGCTTCTAAAATCACTGCAAAGCCAGCGCATCAAAAATCTAGCAACAGCTGTACCGAAAAGGAAAATAGAGGCAGATCTTACTTATGACTAAAGATGCAAAAATCTTAAAGGCAATCACAGCAAATCAAATCTGACTGCATTAAAAGAACCTTGACCAAATGAACTTTATTCTGGAAGTACAAGGAGAGATCAAAATAAAGAAGTTAATGACACAACAGGCCACACATGTCTCTCTCAAGGTGAAACAATACAAGAATCTCCAGGCAGATGCTTAAGGAAGTATTTAACAAACTTAACTTCCATTCATGCTTTCAGATATCCCTAGAAATGAGGAATGGAAGAAAACTGCCTTCACACATGGCACTTGACTTCAAGGCACCCGGCTCTAAAGAACTGTGACCACATTAGAGACACATACTCATGCCAGTCCCGGGAAGGCGGGAAACTGTGAATACCTGTGGCTGAAACACCCCAGCAGCGGCTGCCTCTGTTTCCTCGACTGTCTCTATTCACGTGATCATGTGAATAGCCACAAACACATTTTTTCTGTCACTCATTCCAGCCTTAAATCTAGTTCTCCAGTTGTAGGGCGGAGCAGAGAGCTTTATAAGGACTCCACCAGCAAAATCATGCTCTCTAATTGCCTTGGAAATGGGCTGAATTCAAGACTCACTGAGAAATCCAGAAAGCTTACTCGTGGCAAAGGCTTGGTGAACAGTCAAGGGCTCACTCGTAGCATACAAGTTGCTCCAATGTCTCACCAGTGAATCACCAGGGGCTCCTCTGTAGTCTGCAGGTTTCTATTATCATCATCATCAGCCCCTGTTTGCCTCCGACAACAGTTTACTCCTGTGTGGAGCTATGCTGGGGGTGAGTCAAAAAAAAGTCCTGTTTTAGAGAACAGTTATTAACTGGGGTTTCTGGGTAGATTGTGAGGGTCTGAGAAGATCCTGGAGGTTTATGCAAAACTGTGGAAGGAAGAGGGAGAGAAACTGTGTGCGTGGCTGTGATGTGCATTTGCTTTTGCGGGGGCAGGTTACTGGAGGAGATGATCTATCGCTTTTATCAGTTTTTCAAAGAAGCCCATTATCTATAGAGAGTTTGAAACTCTGCTTTAACAGCTGGAGGGGTAGATGTGGTCTATTTAGCGCACAAATGAGGAGGTGGCTGCTTAGCTAGGCTCTGGAAGTGGCTGTGTGATTTGCCTGACAAGAGTAGAAACCACCAAGCCATTCAGGAACAGATGCTCAGACCTGAAACCCAGTGACATATCTGCAGGGACCTCATGGTTCTGGGAAGAACAACGTGGGATGAGAAAGAAGATGTGGGAGCTGAGGAAGTGACTTCTAAGATAATACAAAAAAGCCAAGGTTTCTTAACATTGTAAGAACAGATGTTTCCCGGTGGAACAGAAGGAAGGCCCAGCACACAACACTGTGGATGGGGATCCCTTTGCTGTGAATGGAGAGAAGGGCTAAAATGATACTGCAAATGCAGAAGACTCCTGTGAAGAGGTGGTGGCAATGAAACATGTTCTCTGGTGATGAGCAGTGAACAGGAAAAGGAAGGTGCCCTGTAGTAGTATCTATGACCCAGGGTGGTGAAGCTAGACCTTGGAGTAGGGGGGAGTGGCAAGGAAGGAGGACATGGGATATAGGATGTGAGCCCCTGGTCCATGCCAAACATTGGGCCAGGTACTTGCCAGGGCTTTTCTCACCTGATTCTCACAAGACAGGGAGCCCAGTGCCCCAGAAAGTTGTTGACAACAATACCTGAGAGGATGCACCCAAGGAACACTTAAAATGAATTTGCAAAATATCAGGTGTTATTATTATTAGCAATACTATTTTATTCTATTTTGATCTCTCAAGTCTCAACTTGAATCTAGCTTCTTTAGGGAAGTTTTTCCTTAACCCCCAGAGTATACAGAACTTCCTTTACATCATCTCACAGTATCCCACAATTCTCGTGATTGTAATTAAGTAATATGTGGGTCTACTGTCTTTCACATGAGATTAATTTCCACAAGAGCAAGAACATTATTTGTCTTGTTCACAATCCCCAGAGCCCAGCATATGCCTGACACACAGAAGGTGCTTCATACTGAAGTGCTGAGCCAATGAATGAAATGTTGGAGGCGAGCAAGGGGCCCCAGGAAGCTTCTAGTGCCACAGATCCATGTGGATGGGGAAATGGACACCAGAGAGGTACAAGGTTGTACCCCAGGTCACAAGGCTAGAAGAAGAGGCAGAAACAAGGTTCCCTGACTCCATAGGAGGTAGAAACCTGGAAGCCACCCGCAGACCTCACACTCCAGCCCTGCCCCCCACCCTCACCTCAACAAGGAAACCACACAAGCTCATTTGCCTAGGTCAGCAGCAAGAAAACTCTGCAGGACATGAAAATGAAAAGCACACCACTCCCTCTTGACCACACCCTCCTCACCCCCCCACCCAGTCCTACATTCAGCTTCCACTATTGGTGTGTGTGGACTTGCTGTCTATGATCCTGGGGAATTTCATGGTGACAGCTTAACAGCCACGCTGAGCATCAGGTGGCTCTGGTGAACAAGCCATCAAGCCCTACTCCACTGAAGATGGTCAGTACCTGGTAGGAGGGCATAAAAGGCAGGTGAGGACAGAAGGATGGGGCTCAGTGCTGTGGAGTGAGGAGAGGGTTTCAAGAAGACTTCTAAGATGGTGAGATTTGAGTGGGTATCCAAGGATGGATTCATGGCCTGCCAGGCTGTTAGGGGAAGTAGGGGGAAAAGTAAGGAGAAGGAACAGTAAAGATACAGGCACAGAGGCTTCCTCAAGCTTCAGAAGATGAAGGAGGCCCTGAACTGGGTGATGGGAGGCCTTACTAGTCATGCCAGGGGTCTGGGCCATGTCTGAAGGGAAGCTCTGAGAGTTTACAGTTGAAAAGTGATTTGCTCAGATTTGTTGCCTTACTTCATGTGGTGGTAGGAGAGAAGATGAATTGGGAATGGAGGGAGGCTGGAGGCAGGAGAACAAGCACAAAAGCCCAAAGCCTAGGACTCCAGTAGACTCAAAAAGGACACAGTGTCTGCCCTGTGTTGCCAGCCACCCACTTTTTCCCATTCAGTAGCTTCCACCTTCCTATTGGGGCCACTCTGCCACAGCTATATCTCACGTATCTGGAAGTCACTTAATTCATAGCCCCAACTCTCCAAACCTTAGCTGCAGGCCTAGAAGTAAACAGAAAAGACCAAGAAAAGTCACAGTTCAAGTTCCAAAAGTCATGCCCTATAGGAGACACACATCACACCTAGAGGACACATAGGCTACCACTTGGCTTGGTCATTTCTGGTCAAAACCCAACACCAGAGTCAGCCCAGCTCTGACACTTCCTAACCCTGTGGCTCTGGCTCTAAGCCTGTGTATGCATGAAATGGGGACAATGGTTGTGGCTACCTGAGAGTGCGGATATGAAGATTAAAGGACATGAAGTTCTTAGCCCAGTACCCAACACCATGAAATTGTAGCTGAAGAGGAAAGGGTAAGAAGAAAGACAAAAGAGAAAGGATAGAAAATGCTTCCTGAGCAGAACCAAGGTACTGAGAATGGCAGGTAGAATTATTTGATATTTTTAAGACAGTATTAAATCACATGCAAGTGCTATATTTCTAAAGGCAAACACATTTTATAAAGGTTTCCTTTAGAGCTGGATACAATGAAAAGTTTTGGTGTTAGAAAACAGGGCTCCTGGAAAAGTTAATGCTTGCAAATGCACTTACGGGGATGACATGTTCTGTGTGTAAGTATAAAGCATCCCCTCAAATCTGTAAAACATATATTGCATTTAACAGGATCTACCATCAAATGTAAGATGCACCATTATTTTGCATGCCATCAAGAAAGAAACACTGGGGCCTCCCTGGTGGCGCAAGGGGTTAAGATGCAGCTCTATGAAGCCACTGCAGCACGAGTTGGATCCCTCTCCTGACTCGCCTGTTGCTCCCCTCAGCAGTGTATATCAGTCAATCCGCCTGTCCTGTTCCCCACTCTGTCTCTGGTGAGTCCTCTGACACCCCCACACTTCTGGCCTGTACCCCAGTTCTTGTGTACATAAATGAAAGGAAGGAAGGAAGGAAGGAAGGAAGGAAGGAAGGAAGGAAGGAAGGAAGGAAGGAAGGAAGGAAGGAAGGAAGCCAGCCAGCCAGCCAGCCAGCCAGCCATCTGTTATAATAGTAAGATGCTAGATGGTAAGATGCATCTTGGTTTTAGAATTATTAAAATGTGAAAATATGTGCATCTTCAAATTATCCTAATAGGTAATATGTGTTTGCTATCATTGTCTCATTTTCCCCTTGGTCTGTCCTTTGTCTCCCCCATCTGTGCCAGAAGCTCAAAAATGAAAATTAACATCTCTCTCTTGAGCTGCTGGTAATGATTCTACCTTGGCCCTCCAGAAGCTTCCTCTCTTAACAAGTTGATCCAGGATTTCATTCCACCTGCAGTTAAGCCAAACAAATCTTCTGGTTCAAAGGTATCCTATAGGGCTAGCTAGCACAACCCTTTGGGGTGAGCCTCTGTGAATGAAGGTCAAGTCTACACAGCTGAGTCCTTAGGGGCCTAGGCTAGGCACCTAAGTCTAGGGCCCCAATGTGTTTACCTTTAGAAATACAGCACTTGCATATGATTTAATACTTTCTTTTAAATATCAAATAATTCTACACTAGGCTGCCCAGGCACACATGCTACCAGTTCTTCTCAGTCAGCAGGACCTGTGATCAATGACTAAATTGGAGCTATGGAACCACCTCCATCAGCCAGCCTCCTTCACAGCCTCCATGGTAGAAGAACTGATAAGGAGCTGTAAAGCCTCCTCCTCATTAGGGCTCCACTAAGCCCAAATCCACCCTATTATTCTTGAAAGTAACAAAAAGAGATGTATGGGCTGGGGAGGAAATGGTCTGCTTCCATTGTGGCTGGCGGAGAAAATATAATTAATCATCCCCCACCTAAGCTGGACACAAGGGAATAGTTTTTAAAACCCTAATGAAGTACAGCACCCAAAGACCCCAAACTTTTCTGTCCCCATAGTCCTGGTTACTTATGCTTCAAAAGGCAGGAGAGGGTATCCTGAAGCAGAAAAAGTGTGACCATGCCAAACTTTCTTTTTTGTCTTCATACCATGTGGCCATGCTGAGGAAGCAGGCAAGCCCTTGGCGCCCACTCTGCACAGGCCCAGGGAGCAGCTCCTATGTGTAGTGACCTCATCATACTTTCTTGATTTAATTTTCCCATGTCCTGTGCAGATGCTATCAGGGCCCATTTTATAGATGGAAAAGCAGGCTAAGAGAGGAGTGGTAAGGTATTCCAGGTAACACAGCTGGGTCTGGCTGGAACTCAGGTCTTTCTACATCACATGTGGTTCCCAAGCAATGGCTCCAATGTCATCACTTAAAGAGCTTAAGCAAATTTTAGAAAAGTCCAGATTGCAGATGCCACCTCTGAAAAACTGTGCTGTAAGTCTGGGGCCTGGAGAATGTATGGTTGTAACAAGCTCAGGGATCCAGTGCCTCACCCACCAGGTGGTTCAAGCCTGGGATGAAGGAAGGTGCAAATGGGAAGATATAGGACCCAGGTAGGGTGGATGAGAAGAACAACCCAGAAGGGGCCTTTCAGGCAGAACTGGCCTACTTTTAGACCTCATTTTGCTTAAACCCACCCCTCCTCTCAGCACTAGAGGCTTGTTAACTCACTTGATACCACATCCTGCTGCTTTCATCTCACCTTCCTTTTATCTCCCAACATTCTCCCTCCTACTGACCTAAACTTCTTGCTTATTTACCCCATCTC